ATCCAGGGGCTGGGGATTTAACTCAGCAGCACAGCGCCTGCCTGGCAAGCGTAAGGTTGTGAGTTCAATTCCTGGTACCGGAAAAAAAAACAAAAACAAACAAACAAAAAAACAATATATCCAGAAATACTATAAATGAAATCTTAAATAATCAAGAAACTCACAGGAAGTCAAAAAAGGGGAAAGAAGATGCAAACAAAAAACAAATGAGAGCCAGGTGTGGTGGCGCACTCCTGTAATCCCACCACTTGGGAGGCTGAGCCCTGCAATTTTGAGGCCAGCCTGGCTTACATAGAGAATTTAAGGACAGTTTGAACTACATAGTGAGACCCTATCTCAAAAACAAAACAATAAAATAAATAAAATAAAAAACAACCAACTAAAAAACAAATGATGTAATTAAGCCTCAATACATTAGAACTTATTTGAAAGTGAATAATCTAAGTACGTGAACTAAAAGGTAGATATTAGCAGACTAATTTCAAAAAGCATGAACCAACAATAATGTGTTTGGATATGTTGTTTATAAGAAATACACTCCAAATTCAATCACATAGGACAAAAGGATAAGTACAAAAAAAGATATATCATGTAAATATAATTTCTTAAAAGGCAGGAGTGTCTATAGTAATATCAGATAGAGATCAAAGCGTACATATAGCATATATATTATATATATATATGTCATATATATGAGGGCTAATCAAAAGCACAGTGTGTTTAAATTAAAAAAATTATTACAGTAAAAGACACATGTCACTGTGTCCCTCAAGATACTCGCCCTCCCTTTGAACATATTCATCCCATCATTCTTGCCACTTTCTGAAGCAGTTCCGGAAGACTTCTTTTGTGAGTATCTTTATGAGATGTTATCAAAATTTGGTGAATGCTGCTACTGAGTGCTATTCAAGACAAGGCAGGAGAGTAAAAAGCATTACAGTGTATCATTACTTTATTCACCAGATCTGGCACAGTGCAACTTTTGCCTTTGCCTCAAAGTCATGAAGACCATGGAAGGTAAACATTTTGAACCAGTTCAACACATCAAGTTAGTCACAACAGCACAACTAAAGGTACTTATGAAAGAGGACTTCCAGAATTGTTTCAGAAAGTGGCAAGAATGATAAAGACAAGAGTGTTCCAATAGAGGAGGGTATTTTGAAGGGGATTAATCACAATGTTTTTTACTATAATAATGTTTTTAAAATTCACCATGCTTTTGGTTATGTTTCATATGACAAAAAGAAGCTTGCATAATGACAAAGTCATCAACCCTCAGGAAGACATGGTGACTGGAAGTGGAGAAATAGAATGGAGAAGTCCATAATCATAGGTATGGATTTCAGCATGCTCATCTAAGCAAGCGAAGACTGTAGGAAAGAAAGTTGATACGTATGTAAAACACCTGAACAACACAACAATAGAATCTTATGGGCATATACAGAAATTGCCACTCAATCGCAACAGAACAAACTTTTTCTTTAGGCACTTGTAAGACAGTTACCAAGACAGACCCTATCCTATGCCATAAAACAAACCTCAACAAATTTGATATAATTGAAATCATAGGGTATGTTCTATAATACTAATGAAATCCAAATAGAAAATCAGTGACGGAAAGATAAATGTCTGGAAACACTTAGAATTTCAGCAATACAATTCTTACTTCTAAATAATGCAAGAATCAAAGAAAAAGTCTCAGTGGAAATCTTAAAAATAGGCAGACCTGCACTATAATGAAAGTATGTGGAATGCAGCTAAACCAGCATTGAGAGTTAAATTTGTACTATTAAATGCTTATATTTTTAAAAATTAAAATAAAAGAAGCCTAAAACAATCAGGAAGAAATCGTAAAGAACATAAAACAATGAAATTAAAAACAGGGAAAAATCAATGAAACACAACACTGGGCTTAAAAAAAAAAAAATGAAGGAAGCCAGGCATGGTGGCACTCAGGAGCCAGAGGCAGAAGGATCACCATGAGTTTTGGGCCAGCCTGGACTATATGGTGAGCTTCAGGCCAGCCTGAGCTACATAGAGAGACCATGTCTCAAAAATAAATAAATAAATAAAATGAAAAATGAGAGAGAGAGAGAAACATGAACTGTCAAAGTGGATGTAAAATAGAATAATCACTACAGATCTTACACCTATTAGAAGGATAATAAGATATACTGTGAGCAATGTTATACTTAAAAATTTGACAAAAAAAATGAGCAAAAATATAGACCTAATCAACACAATCATCCAGTATAATCTAACTGACAAATTATAGAAACTCCACCCAACCACAGTGGGAACACAGGCTGTAAATGCCCTTTGCGGCTAAGGAAGGAAACATTTCTGGTTCAAGTCCCACTGTCATGTGGCTAAATTGGAGTCAAAGATGGAATGCCATGTCCAGGACAGTCTTCCCCAGTACTAACAAGAGAATATGTAGAAACTGAACTAAACACAATAGTATTTGTAATCATCCCCCCAAATTAAATACTTAGGAATGAACTTTAAAAAATACTTACAGTTGGCATGTGGAAAGTTATTCAACAGTAAAAATAAAAAGGCAATCCACTGAAAAAGGGGCAAAGAGATTTTGCTGAAAAAACATAAATATATGTCAAATAAATACAGAAAAGGTATTCAACATCTCTAGTCATTATGGAGATGCAAATCAAAACCACAATGAGATATCATTACATACCTATTAGAATGGCTTAATTTAAAAAAAAAAAATCTAACAACCAAATGCTAGTGAAGACGTGAAGAAATTGGATCACTCATACACTGGTAGGAACAAAAACTGGTCCAGTGGGAAAACAAGGTAAAATATATTGGGCTTCCTGATTTCATGTTTTATAACTGCAAGTGAATCTACTACTTCATTTAAAAGATTTACTTCAAAAAATAAGACAGACATTTTAAAAAGTGGCATACATATAAATAGGAAGACTTAGAAGTGAAGATCTATTGTTTATACCCTTTCTGCAAATTCCAGCTATTGTGTTAAGCTGAGTAGTTCATGAAACTTATTTTCTTTGTATTTTATGTACACAGACTACATTTTCCAGTCTTTGCTGCAATTGAATGTGGTTGTTTGACTAAGTTTTGACCAGTGAAATGCAGACAGAAAAGACATTCATTACTCATAGGGCTTGGCCTACCAAGCCCTCTGATGGCTGGGTGTGGTGGCGCATGCCTGTAATCCCAGCACTCGGGAGACTGAGGTAGCAGGATTGCTGCAAGTCTGAGACCAGCCTGGGCTACAAAGTGAGCTTAAGGCCAGCCTGAACTGCATAGTAAGACCCTGTCTCAAACAACAGAACAAAACAAAACAAAACCTCTGATGAGATGCTCTATTGCCTGCCCCCTGGCTAATTGGAGAAGAGCATAGATTTGGAAGGTGCATTTTGACAAGGGGGAAAATAAAGGAACCTGTGACTCTTAAATACTACGAAAGACAAGTTATGATGGGAACCCATTTTTAGAATTTCACAGATGAAAAATAAACTATTTCATTAAGCCACAGAGATTGGAGGAAGCCAGGACATCTTAACTCACATCAGTAATTGTTTCTGGCATTTTTTAGAAGTCAAATCCAGTGCACTTTCTAGAACATTTTACTCCCTGTATTATTTGGATCTATGGAAACATTGATTATCCATGTCTTTTCATCTGATGAGGAAATCTTAGCAATGGTCTCTAATTCTGATAGAATCCCTTTTCTATCATCTTGAACCTAATATTTTAAAAACAGTTTATAACCCTCTTGTTCCAGGAAAGATTTAAAGTAGCTGACAAAACACATACACTATACCAAAATCAAATAAATTAGAAAGACATAAGAAAAAAAAGAGGCAACAGTAAGAAACAGAAACAGGAAATTGAAATATTCCCAGGAGTGAGGGAATAAATACATACATAAATAAATTCCAGACAGACCTATATGTTTACAGACCCCACATTTATTTCTAGCAGTCTACATGACTGAGAAATCCATACTTTTTATTGTTTATCAAGATTGATTTGCATACCTTTTTCAATTTGAGATAAAAGGCATGCAAGTTAAAAATTGCTCGAGGGAAGTACAACTGATCCAGAGAATGACACAAGGGATTTTCTCCTATGGTTTTCACAGAGTGAGCAGTGAATAAACAAACAGCTTCTGCAGCAACTTTACAACAAACAGTGCCACAAATTAAAGACCATTGATCTTTAAAACTGAAATATTAAAAACAAGAGGAACCTAAGTGTAAATAGACCTCTAGGTTTGCTTTTCTTTTACTACTTTCCTCAGAAATCCCAATAACAACTGAAATATTTTCTTGAAGTATTTATTATCTAATCAGTTGAGAAAAAATGAGACAGAAATCTAAATTTCAGTTGGTTTTCTCATTGGAATTTATGCAGTCATGGGTAAATTTGTACTTATACACACATTGGGAATTGAAAATTCTGAAAGTTTTCTGAACATGAACCAGACACAAACAATTGTTCACTGAAAAACATACATGCAAATTTCCTCTGAGTTTTAGAGTAAGAATGCTGAAAAGAAAGATAGAATAGTAATTTAAATTTGATGTATGGAGTGATTTTAGCTATAGAATCACTGAGAAAGTTTCCTTGAAATTAGATAACTGGTCCCAAAGTAAAGATGTATAAATATAATAACTGTTAGCAAATTTGAATAACAAAACAGCATCATAAAAAATTTAGTAACAAAAATTCTAATATGTTTGGTTAATAAAGAATTCAGTTCTTTAGAATGCACTTCAATTCCCAGGAAAATATGTGAACATCTATCTCCTCCATCCCTGTTTTCAATGTTTCCATGGCTTAAGGAATTACCACACATGAACCGAGATATTTTCCATGCCCACAAGGGGGACCCTTTGTTCCACGGCAACAGAGTTTATGCTGCATGAGTCTTACTCTAATACACCATTTGGTTAAATACATGGTGTTTCACACAATGCAGAAAGACATTCCTGTCTCCTTGGCCTCACCTGCAAATCCAGGCTGACAAATACAAACATAGCCTGTGGCTTTGTGGTAGCTGAATGAAGAAGGCAGCTGGGCAATGCGTCCGTATTGTTTCTCCAAAGACAGCTCCACGCATTCCGCACCAGACTGGCAGGGATTACTACCGCATTCGTTTATGTCTGTCTCACACTGGGCACCTGTGTATCCTGCAGGATGAAAGTGCAGAGAAACTGCTGAGTCAAAGCTCTCAAACTGTACAGCATATGCCTGAATGGAGGCTGACCACTGTGCTGGTGCCAGTTAGTACGTTGCCACCCTCAAAGACCCGGCCAAGGGAAGCTGGTAAGAGGAGGTTGATGTGCAAGTAATTATCACTAGCAATCGAATCAGCTGTAGAATTCTGACCAATATTGTTAGAAAGATTTGATTGATGAGACTTGAAAGTAAATGTGATTTAAAGAAGGTTGGTGCTAATATCAACTGGAGAATTTTTTATGCCCATACCTTATAATCTGAGTAACTCCTTTAAAGAGAACAATACGCAGTGCATTAGCTATTGTTATTCTCCTATTATCTTGTTATGAAATTTTGTTTTACTTATGTTCCATAAAATTTAAAAATGAGACTTAAGGGAAGCCTAGACCTAAACTGACTATTTTAATCTGAACATTTCATAAAATGGAATACCATTTGCTCTAATTTGGCAAATATTCCAATTATTTACATTTTTATCAAGAAGTAAATTTCTACAGAGAATAGCTAAAAAGTCAGCAGTATCCCCAAATATTTCTCTTAAAATTTAAATAAAGGATAAATGGTTATTTATTAAAGCCCAGTGAAACAAAAGACTATTTTATATTTGTATAGAATCAGCTGAATCATTACAGTAGGACCAGGATATTCTTTTTAAAAATCAATGACTTACCACTTCATATGACATTAAAATCTTAAATATAAAACAAACTTCCCTATCCAAGCAATTCCTTTGCTTTTACGTACATATATATCCATTAAAATATATATAGTTTCATTGTGAGTGTGTTTTTTACATAACTGGAATTGTACCATATACATCCCTCTGCAACCTGCTCTATTTACTACCTTGTATGACCTATGTATGTGGGTTAGATGGAGCTAACTCAGAATTTTTAAATATTGCCAAGTATTCCAAAATATGGATGTACTTGGCTTAACCATTCCTTTACTGATTTTATATGTATTTTTCTTACTACAACGTTGCAATGAATATCATTACTCATACCAATGTGTGTTTGAGTAAAACCTTAAGGTTTATGCTTACAAATGGAATTTCTAGCTTATAGTTATATACATTTTTGGTAGAGACTGGGAATACCTTTAGCGGTAGTTTGGCATTTACCTATTACCAGCAAGTGGACAAGTGTGTATATGACTCCAAATCCTTCTTAATATTTACTGTCACTAAATATAAAAATTTTCCAGGTTGTAGGATAAAAAATATATTGTTTTAATTTACATTTTCCCCAGATACTACTGAGATTAATATTTTTACCTAAAACGTTTTACATTATTTTCCTGATTTTTAATAAGCTCATTGATTTATGATTATTTATATGCGGTGTGTCAAGGCAGCCCCCAAACGTAAATTTAGTGGAACATTAATATTGCTGATGGATAATAAAATAACATCAGCCATTTTGTCAGATGGACAGACAAATATATGAAGTTCTTAAAGAAACATAATTAGAGCTACAATGCAAGTGACTTCAGTCACCTAAAGGACCCTGTAATGTCACTAAATCTGCTGAGAAGTATGTTTTTAAACAAAATGTATAATTAAAATGATGTTATAAATAAAATGATAATATCTTTTATTTTAAAATCATACAATGCCTTCCTTTGTACAGCGGATAAAATTCAAAGCCCTTAACGTGACCTGGGAACTCTCTCATTATAAAAGCCCCTCCCACCTCCACGTTACTACCTTAGCTCATTCACTACCTTCCTCCCCACCCCCACCCCGAGAATGTTTCTTACCCACCCTGGCCTTCATAACACTGCTATCTCCCCTAGAAAACTCAAAGCCTTTGTTTTGTTTTTGTTTGTTTGTTTGTCAGTACGGGGAACTGAACTCAGGACCTTGCATTTGCCAGGCAGGCGCTTATGCCACTGAGCTATATTCCTAGTCCCTTCCAAGCCTTTGCATAGCCAGCTCTGACTCAGTTTTCAGACTTTATCTGGTATCACTGTCTCAGAATTACTCGTTCTGAATATCTAAACAAGATCACTTCATTTCTCTCACACCTCCCAATCTTTTTCAGCCTTTTCACTTTTTAAATAATGTTTAATTATGTATTTACATGTATATATTATCTCCCTCTGCTGACTCTAAGCTTTACAAAAACAGGGACTGCGTTTATTTTATTTACTCATCCAATACCAAGCGTTCAGACCTTCAATCCAGGAAAAAAGTAAGAATAAAATAGTAGTAGGCAATGGTAGTAATACTAGCAGGTAATAGTACCAGGTGAAAAACAGAAACAATTTATATTATAATTCCATTTTCGCACATGAACTAGACAATTGACCAGTAATGAAGATAATGTAATTACTTATTTTATAACTTTAATAAAAACCTGAATGGGTCATACGTCAAATAATAACTACAACACAAATTCTGTTGCTTGACAGTGCACTATATTGTTACCTATGACCCTTGGGGCTTTTCTAAATCATTTGAAGAAACAACTTAAGAGTCAAAAAATAATAATAATAAACTAAATGAACTTGTCAGATCGAGATCTCATAACCCTTTATTGTGACGTCGCCAAGGAACACTCAGCATCTCATAAACGTGAATGGTTCCTTCATCATACTTCAGCTTATACAAGTGGCAATAAATAATGACCTTCACAACAGATTTTCATAAACTGGAATTTTCGTGCTGCAGTGGACTTATTGAAGGAGACCTGGACTACTTTCAATTTTCTTTTCATTCTAAGACTCAAAACTCACTCATTCAAAGGCCAGGTTAATCCAGAAGCATCATAAATCCTTTGCTTTTTTGTTTTGTTTTGCTTTTCCGGCTCATGCATTATATCATTCCAATCCTGAACATTAGGAAGGTTTTGATTTATAGTTTGGCCAGTCCTGTCCCCACCACGGAGGCCCTGTGGGGATTTCATTTGCTGTTCTCCTTAAACACAGATATAAATAGACTCCTTCAGTCAAGACTAAATTCGATAGTTTCAACAAGTTTTTCCATGAAACTCTGAACAAAGAAGAAATACAATATTGAATCAAGTCCCAGGGCTTTTATGTTAAATTTGCTTTTAGTGCACTCAGTCACATCCGGGCACGAAGAAAACTTCTAAGATAAGCATTTAAGGCAAAACCTTCTCATCATGCATTATCTTGAAATGAAGATTCTTGCCCTTGCATTCTGTTGCAGTGGTTTCATGCTTCAAATGAAGGGTCTTCTTTTCTTAAATGTGGTTGGTAGTGTTAAATCTTTTTTACATATTATAGAATAGGGTACAAAGACATTCTGACTTTTCTAACGAAACCATCGACTTTCAATGACCTAAGACAGAAGCTCAGCAGAACTGTTCTAAGTCTGAACCACATTATGGCCCAAGACTCTCCCAACTATCCATCCCCTTGTGTGAGCCCATGACTGATGTCTTAGTTCTGGGACTCACCTCTGTTTAAACTCCTGCAGAACACTCTCACTAGATGCCCTGCCTTTGACTATATCTCCCTCAGCTGACTTTCCTTAAGCTGCCGGAGCACTCCTTTAAACTTAGCAGGTCAGAGTATACAACTCCCCCGCCCACAGTTTGCAAGGAGGACAAGCAGCTTTGTGGCTTTTGCAGCTTCAATCCTGCTCCCTAGACCACCTCTGCAACACAAGCCCGGTATAACCCAGTAATCACTTACAGTTGCACAACTGGAACTTTTGCGCGTGTGTCCTTCACTGTTTTTTGCTTCTTTTTTCTCCTCCATCTTCTCCTTATTTTCTTTTTTCCTTAAATAAGTAATGGGCTACTTGGAGCTACCCACAGGGTCTAGAATGGTCAGCCTCCTAACTTTGATATTTAGTTAGCGTTTTTTGAGCACATTCTTTTTTTTTTTTTTTTTTTTTTTTTTTTTTTTTGAGACAGGGTCTCCCTATGAGTTCAGGCTGGCCTTGAGCTCACTTTGTAGCCCAGGCTGGCCTTGAACTCTAACAATCCTCCTGCCTCAGCATCCTGAGTGCTGGGATTACAGGCATGCACCACCAGCCCCGGAAGCTTGAGCACATTCTAAAAGCATGCTCAGCTAGGCACTCTATATCCATCGGTAGATTTCTCTACAAAGAACTCTATGAAGTAGATATTATTTCCAGCATCTCTGATTTATAAATGAGGAACTGAAACTCAGAGAATTTACATGTTCAAAGTTACACTGCTCCCGTATACATTTCTGATACATGTTCAGTCGTCTTTAAAGTATCTAGAATGATTTCTCTTTGGTCAACCCACTCCTCTACTTCTCCCTTTATTTCCTTTAAATAACTTTTTATAGCTCCTTAACGTGCTCAAAGTCACTCTACACATATTTTTGCACAGTCTCATAAGAATACTAGAATTCCAATGTTTTCTGTCTTCTTTTTCAATGACAATTTTCTAAGTCTTCTTGGAAGAAGGAAGGATGTCTTTTTAATTCCTTGATCCTAACATATGTAAACTTGGCACTGAAATCCAAAGAGCTTAACTGATTAGATCCGTGAATGAATGGAACATATGTAGGTTTTCTTTTATTTTGTTTGTATGGTATTGAATATTGAACACAGAGCACTTGCACTAAGCTATATCTTCAGACCTTTTTTGCATTTTATTTTGAGCCAGGTTCTCACTAAATTCCTCAGACTGGACTCAAATTTGCAATCCCTTTGCCTCAGCTTCCCAGAGAGCTGGGATTACAGCATGCATCACTACGCCCAGCTTGCATGTGCTTTTTTTTTTTTTTTTTTCTTTTAAGACAGATCTTCTAAGTGCTGTACTCCATTATACAACCCCTGTAGAACACAGTCCATCTCTCATACAAAGTCCCATGTTATGCAGTTGGCATATAGTAACAATTATCCTTTTAAAAGTGCTTACTATAGTCCAGACTCTGTTTTTATAATTTTACTCTTCAGAACAATACTACCAGTAAGGTATTTTTACCTACTTCTTAAAATGAGAAATTTAAGGATTAAGAGGCAACTCACTCAAGTTTACTCAGTTGTAAATTTATCCTATTCCCCAATCACTTATGTTAGCCCCCACTTCTGGGCAGAAACCCTGCCTATGAACATATTTGGGAAAGTTTCAGTTTTGAAATCAAGTTGATGATGAAAAGATAGTAAATGTCCCCAACTCATTATTTGAAGTAGGAGCAGGTAACATACACAGATTTCTAAGTTATAGGAGAATCTCAACTTATTCTTTGAGGGGCTGGGGATATAGCTCAGTGGTATAAGCACCTGCCTGGCAAGCGCAAGGTCACTAGTTCAATTCCTGGTACCAAAAGAAAACTTACAGTTTTAGGGTTTTTTAAAGATAGAGAATATATTTAGCCAAAAATGTCAAATGTCCCTCAGGCAATGAGATATCGCAAGCAGAAGCTTCTACTGACGGGATGGACTCTATTCTACATGTTTTCTTTCCATCCACAGGGTTATCCTTTCTTCAAGTAGATGAATGAGGATACAAAGATAATCAGTAAGTTTATACAACTAGACCTTGGATCATTTTGTCATTTCCCCCCAGTGGATCAAGAAAGAGAGGAGATGCTTTACTTCTCAGTTCTATCAATCAACCCTAGTTAAATCACATAAAAAGTAAAATAAATTATCCACCGAAATTAAAATCAATGTTTTAAGGTGGCCAGTAATGTAATTCAAGTATTATGTACCGCTTTCTATTTGTTCTTGTATCCCCTGTACACTCAAGTCGAATTACCCTTTACATGTAATTTTTAGTTAGGTTTTTATATGCTTAACTTATATCCTGGTTGACTTTATAAATGCCTAGGATATTACTTCTATTTCTGCAAAATCTTTTATCTTCTAAGATAAAAGATAAGGTCCCAGAATTTTAATATTATTTCACGGGTTTCTATATATTTCTGTAGTCTAAGAGAATATCTTAAAGAAACAGAAATCATCTTCCAGTGAATCATTCTCCACTAACAATGTGTTGAAATTTATCTTTCTGTTGATTTTCACCCTCTTTTTCTTCTAAATGGCTCCAATCACTGGGCAGCTTTAGCCACCTACAGCTATGCAGTGTGTAGTACAACTGTAAGTATGTGTGAGCACCAGAGAATACTAGTAGAGGTGATAATTAGAAGAAATCATTTAAAGCCTTTACAAGAATTTTTAGTTTCATTTTCTATAACTTTTTGCTTCTATTCTAAGCAAAAAAAGAGAAAGTTGATGTAAGCTATTTTGTCACTTACCAGGCCAACAGTGGCAAATATAATTGTCAACACTGTCTTCACAGGTAGCGTTATTGTGACAAGGATTTGACCAACAAAGAGGCATCAAGGTCTCACAGTGTGTTCCTGTGAATCCACTACCCATGCAGTTGCAGCTATATCTGAGGAGTAAATGAGATTTTCATGTCAACAGGTAGTCAGATGGAAATCAAACACTTTTATCCCCACCTTGGTCTCCCAGCCTTCTCAGTGAGCTTTATCCCCAGCCCTATTATTTTTTGTATTGAAAAAGGTCTCCCTAAATCACAAAGTTGCCCAGGTTGAATTCGACCTTGCAGTTTTCCTACTTCAGCTTCCAAGAGCACTTGGATTACAGGTGTGTGCCAGGAAGCCTGTCTTTTCTTTTGTTCATTAACCCATTAACCTGTGGCTTCATCTTAATACTGACCTTACTGGGGAATTACGTCTATAGATTTGAATGCAGTATGTTTTTATACTAGTCTTATCGTTATCTTTTTAAAAATTATAGTAAAGTTTCATGTAAAATCTTTTGGAAACCGTGATTTTGTTTTTAGTTCCTTCACCCATAAACTTAAAATAATAGCGCTTACATCGCAGCATTATTGTGATAATTAAATGTACATGTAAAATAGATGCAGTATCTCATGCACCCCCAAGGTACTAAATAAAAAATGATTAAATCATACTAAATAAAATTGTTCATTTTGTTGAAGGTAGTAGAGAATGAATTGTGCCATAAAAGGTTCCATGTGAAAGAATGAAGCAATAAATTATGAAAAACTCTGGAAAATCTTTCATTAAATAAATTGTGACTTGTGACATTCTCTTATTTTAAATTGTAAGAATATTATAGTCTTGGTATTTCTAACCATTCATTGCTTGTGTGAGACTATCTGACAGTCCACAAATATAAATCTATTGGGCAGAGCTATTGACTTTATGAAGAGGGGGAGTCTCCTCTCTTCAGGTGAGATTTCTTCAAGGATATAGTATTGTAGAAAATGCATCTGCCACTTACCTTAGAATACAGAATGTCTTGAGCAGATGATACCTATGAATTATGAGGCCATTGCAGTCCTGTTCAGGATGACTATGTATATTTACCATCAAGCACAGATATGTGGACTTGTATAACAAAACTGAAATAATAAATGTTTGACTAATTTTATATGAGTAGTTGGACATCATTTATTTGCTATTCCATTAATTAGAAATACTTATGAAAATCTACTACATAGAAGACATTAGAGATAAGAGCCATGTACTCAAGGAGCTTGGCCAGCTGGTTAGTGTCCCTCAGTTTATGGAATTAATTATTCAATTTGCATAATTCTTTTAGTTACAAGAGCCTTTTTTTCCTCATATGCGTTGTAGCAAACATTAATTTTTTAATTGTGGGAAAATAAAGCCAAGTCGCATTGGTTGACTTCATGATTATCTTTTCAAAATTTAGACAGTAAGAGATATAAAGCCAGTAGTAGAATTGAAAAATACTTATGCCTCATTGAAAAAAGGACAACAAATTGTGGCAAAGTTTAACACTGTTTTGTTTGCATTTCCTCTAGAACTGAAAGCTTTGTGTAATTTCTGGTTACTGCTTTCTGGAGCCCATAAAGCATACATAGAATAGCTTTATTTTTCTCTGGAAATCTTGTCAGAAGTTCTTTGTAACCTGGTTTTCTTTGTTTTGACCAATTATCTGTATCTAAGAATAGAGAGACAGATGTCATTGGTGCATTATTTAGGGATGACTGAAGTTGGAAAAGGGTAGGGAATGTGATTCAAGTTATGTTTTTTATTTTACAAAAGAAATGGCACCACCACAGTACTCTATCATAAATCCTACTATTTTGATGAATATATTTGAGGTGTGCATGCCTTTTATGGCCCTCCCTCTGCGCTTCATTTGCTTTAAAATTAACCTTGTGGTAAACGATGTTTTACTTACTAAATAAAGGAAAATTGGATTCTGGCCCTCCTTTTGCAAAGAATTAACTGTGTGAACATGTGGAAGTCACCCTACTTTCTTGGACTTTGATATCTCATTGTACGATAAGAACATTAATGTTCATCTTGTCTGCCACTGAGCTGTTGAAGGATCAAACAGGATAATTTGAAATGCAATATTGTTGAATATTACCAATGCATTTGATGATGTAGTTTTTTGTTATTTTCATAACTATTGGAAAGTTCTTTCCAAAGTGTTTGATGTGAGCTCAACTACCATTACACAACTTTATTATATTTATCATATTAGGTATAACATATTGGTATAACATAAGGTATGACATATTGTTGTACTTTCTGCCTGGAAGGCAGTGACAGAATCTGATTTGGAGAAATATGATATGGTTATTTCTAACCATTATGCTTTCTCAAAAATATTCATCCAATTTCCCATATTCTTAAGAATTCAGCATGTGAATAATTCAGTTATTGTCCTTTCCAACAGCTTATATAAGATTTCTAGAACATTTACTTTGCCACTTGATTTATATGCTTATTATCATATAGATACAACCTTATGTTCACAATTTTAATAATCTTTAGTTTTGATTTTGTGTCTTCCCTATTTACAACAGGTTTATTTCATAGAATTGAAAGGCTGATAATCTCCCATAGTATAAGCAGCTCTAAACTACTGTATTTCAGGAGTAACTTGGAAAGTCCTCACTAGTCAAGACGATCTCCAAAGAATATACTTTTTAGTAAAATATGAATGCTACAACTTTTTATCATTTAAACGTAAAGTAATCTGTGAGCTTTAAACTGAAGTTGTTCACGGTCCAACAATTTCAGGTCTCTTTAAGCCAATCACGCAGTCGTAGGAGAAGACATACCGGTTTCCTCCATCCACACATAGCCCTCCATGGAGACACGGCTGACTGGCACACTCATCAATGTCAAGTTCACAGTGATCTCCTAGGAATCCAGGGGCGCAGTCACAGAAATAAGCCTCCAGAGTATCCCGACAAGTTGCACCATTTAGACAGGGCTGGGACCAACATTCATCAATTTGTAATTCACAATTGACACCTTTGAAAAAAGTCAGCATGGAAAAATAGGAAAATTTCAGCACAGTAAAAATATTTTAGCTCCTTGGCAATGTTTTATTTACTAAGGCACTTGTCAAATGCTATGTTACCCAAAATAATTTTTCTCTTCATTTCTAATTGATATTAAAATTGGTGGGCTTGTGGGAAATTGCACAAAGCAGAACAGCTGTTACTTACAAAGAATTATTGCATACAACAGCTTGTGGCTTTTCTGGTCTGTGGAAACAAGTCATTTTAGAAGAGAGTTATTGTTAACTGTGCTTTTATTGGAAGCCTAAAATGAACCACTTAGTGTTTTTTCATTATGTTTAAACGCTTGGTTTAGCTAGGCGCTATATAAAATAGCAGAAAAAGTTCAGACTCTTAAAACCAGAAGACTGGGGTTAAGATCTGAGCACACCCAATTAATTAGCTGTGTGGTATTGGGCAAGTCTCTTAACCTTTCCATGTTTCAACTTTGGTACTTGAAAAATGAGAACAATTATTGTAACTACACTGTGGGATTATTATACAATTAAATGGATCCTGAAGTGATTATGAAAGTAACCAGTACTAGAGAAATAACACACGCACTTTCCACCAAAATCTGTCATACAAATGTGTTGTGCAAGACGAGTGTGGTAGGGCATGCCTGTCGCCCCAGCATTCTGCATGGATTGATATGTTTGAGCCCAGCCAGGGTAACTTAATGACACCCTGTCTGAAGTTTAAGAATTAAAAAGCAGTGGGGATATAGCTCAGTATGAAGGCCATGAGTTAAATCTCTAGTGCTACTCACACACACACACACACACACACACACACACAAAAGCTGTGCAATTATTTGCTTGAGTGTTCTGTTTGAATAGATGTTTTTAGTTATCATATTTTTAGGTTGTAAAATACTAATTTTAAATATAAAGTTAGAATGTGACTTAATGTAATTAATGTCAAAATTAGAAACTATTTCATTTTAAGGTATGACGGCATTAAAATATTTATGCTCCCCAAAAATAGAGGATGATGAGTACTTGTTAAGCAAAATAAGTTTAAGATTTTTTTAAAAATGGAGTTATATTAAGATAAAAAAAATCACTGAATCTGTCAACCCACTATTTGATACACAGTAATCAAATTTGTATACAGGTTTTAAAAGACACAAAAGGATGAATGTTTGTACTGACCCGTCTTTAATTGTGTGTCTACAACCCTGAAAAATGACTCATGTATTGAAATGATATTCAGAAATTCTCAAACAGCTGAGAAGTCTTCGCAATTTGACTGATTTTTGCTTTTACTTTCCTGATGCAAATACAGTAGGATATTCTAACCTCGTCTACCATTTATAAGTGTTTTCAGATTCTACAAATACCCAACTCAAAAGAGATGGCAGCATATTAAATTTGATTGTGTCTAAAGAACTTAGAAATTAAAAGTTTCTACCTGTAAAAATGGAAACCTGTGCAGTGGTATTTGGTGCCATCCCATTTGCTGCCGTCTTAGTGACCCTCAGCCTCTCTCGTCTTCTCTCGTATTACTGGACTCTCTCTTTGAAATCCCTTGCTATACTTCTACAGAAATGAGAGTTCTATAAAAATCCTCATCCTAGCAATATCTGCTTCAATTTTAGAAACACCTCCCGTGATATCAAGCGTAGAGCGCAGCTGCCCTGCCATGTGGCGGAGCTTCCGAAAGGTGTGAACTGTGCGGGTGCCACACACAAGAGTGTCCTTGCAGCTTTCTCACCGCTCCTGCCCCTCAGCTGCACGTAGATGCTGACCCTGCGCGTAGCACCCAGCCTCGCTCCCTGCTTCCGCAAACCACGTCCGGCTGGTTTCCAAACACTCAGTGCGAGCTACACAGTTCTGGAATCCACACTTAACTGCTTGTACCTGCCTCTGATACCACTCCACTGCGCTCTCAAATTTCCCTGTAATAGTAATGTAATTTTATGTAGCATCACAGTTGCTTCTTTTTCCATTTTGCCTACAAAATGAGGGGATCTTGTAGTCAGTGTTTGTTCTTTTACACCCATATCTGTAGCATTTAGCGCATATTCTTGAAAATAGAAAACAACGAATTTTGAATGAACGCATGGAACAATTATGGAAAAATCCACCATGTGTCCTGGAAGATGAGCCAGTTTGTGAAAGAAGAGATTCTCAGTGCTTCTCCAAGCCTCGGCCCACTGTAAATCAAAAGCTTTGACGTCAAATGTATGGCTTTGGCCATTGTCTAAAACAAATCATGATTTCTAAATGATGGTTCCCCAAATGTACGATAAGCATTTAGAGGTTGCTGACTTTAATATGTACCTTTTGGCAATTAGAGATTGATACTGACGTTCTGTGCCGTAAGATAACACATGTCGAATGCTATCGGTACAGAGCAGGTCTTTTCCCTGTTGCTGTCCCCATCACTCATCTCAGTAGGCAGACCGTGCACGCACATGCAGCCTGGCATTGACGAACTGCCCTGAACACCTTGCTCACTATCTGCACAGCCCACGCTTTGGAAATAGTTGGACTCTGGCTTTAAACTGCCTTCCTAAATTTCACTTTCCACCCAATATATTTTATATCCTAATGGGCCTCTAGCGCACACGGTTCTTTTGAATAAGAACTCCGTTTGCTATTTCTGGCTTCGTTACATGTATCAATTACAGCAGTTATCAGTGCAGGTCTGTGACACGAGTATCTGTGCAAAGAGGAAATGTAACATTCAGCTTTCATTACAGATATGCATAAAATAATTCTCCGTCTATATATCATAGTCATTACTTTTCACATGAACAATGAGGAGAGCCAGGATGACTTCCTGTTCTGATTCACAGCATCGGATAAGCACAATAATGCTCAGCAGAATGTGATGGGAGATTAATGCAAATATTTTTTTCATTTTCCATGAGATCTTCTTTGGGGTTTTAGGCAATTAGGTTTCTGGCTTGTGCATTGAGACACGCCTTTCCTAAGAATATCCAAAAGTAACAAGACGCCTCTCTATTTTTTTATTAGTCTGTGTTTGCAGCACGTAACAGTTCCATCCTTTGTGTGGTGTTGGGACGTGTGCATAACACATCTGAATTTTGTTCTCATCACCTTTCCCTCCCGTCTCTTCCTCCTCCCTCCATCTCTTGATTCCCTTCCCACAAAATGCTCTTTTAGAATCATTCCTTCAAAGGAGCATTTAAAAGTCCAGAACTCTGTCTCTGAAGGACTACTCAAATTTATCAACTCTAAAGCTAATTTTTCTCTCATTTTTAACATCTCTAAAACTAGGACGCCCTTTACACCAAAACTTCCTTAGGTTGGCCATTCTTTAGTTGTATCATTTTTCTTAGTGGTATATAAAATCTATGTAACATCAACAACCATGTACTATATCCCGACAAAGTAAGAAAGCTTTTTTCTTTTGTCCTATTCATAAGTGTTAGTACTTTATTTTACCATTATTTTATTGAACTAATTTTTATCGTGTTGTTATTATAGCTAACCTAATCCCTTTTCTTTTCACAAGTTTTGCTCTCATTGAAAGATAAAAGCTGGAATAATCCCCGATTTCAATATAAAACAATTTCTGCTGACTTTGTCAGTCTTGGTCCATAATGTGTCCTCTTGCATATTCTGAATATCATAAAAATTTGGAGAACATTCTCAACTGTATTAGTTCTGTCTTTCCAGTGTTGGAGGAGGCTGAAATTGGTTGTAGAAAGGGAAAGAAAGAATGCCCCACCTGCACAACCTCAGGCTCTGTTCGTACTACCACCCTGTGTTAGAATCTCAATTTTTGACAGGGGACACAAACTGAAATCACGCTCCCTTGATGGTAAATATGTTATTATTCAAAAATAACAAAATAATGCGTGTAGAAAGAGATGGGTTTTTGTTTTATTCGCAGACTCTTTTTTTTCTATGAGACATTTTCTGACTCCAAGAAACATTAACACCTCTTTGAGCTTCCTCAGCACTGAAGTCCTAGACCAACTGTAATTTCTGTTTACATGCCTGCTCCCTGGCTAAACTGTGAGCCTGCTGCCAGAGACAAATTTTATCTTAGTCATCTTTATGTCTCTGAGGTCTGGCACAATGGTCAGTGCATTGCAGGTATGTATGTTTGATCAGTGAATAATTGTGTGTATTCATTCAACAGATATTTGTCAAGAACTAGAAATTTGTTCACAAACAATTTTCAAAAGTTTTTAGTTTTCAACAAAAGCTTGAATGACATTTAATTTTCTTTATATGACAACATAAAATTGCCAACGTCATAATTAAGGGTATGATAGAAAAAGTCCATTTTCCTTTGATAAAATAAATGTGACATTAACATATTTTAATGAGATAAGCTTGTGCTTATAATGTGTAATATATGTAATTTTCTCACATTATTTTCCATGACTGCTAAATTATCCAGATGATTTTCTGTGGATGCCTTCAAATGATTTAACTAAATATATTTAGAAAGGACAGATCTCCTGGCTGGGATTCATATCTCCACACTATTCAGGTCATTGCGTTGATAAGTGCTGTCCTAAAGGCAGTGTCAGCGGCACTGCATCTCTTAGAATCAGCCATCAAAATGGATTTGTGGACTATTGGAGAAGACTCAAGAACATGAAATATTATTAAAAGAAAAAAGAAGCCCCAGTAGGAAACCTTAATGCATGACCACCAGGTAACCTGGAGAATTACTACTTCCTCCTAAATTCCACGTGTGCATATGAAAGACACTGTGTAAAGATATGGTGGCTATCAACTACCAAGGAAGACCATTCTTGCTACATAGTGTAGTATATTCCCAAGGGTAAACCTGTTTGCAGTAACCCAGGTATCGCCATCAGAGGGCACTGGAGAGCAGACGAGGGAAGTCGCTCATTTTGTTTGGCGATCCTCGATCTTTCGGTTTAATTTCTAGTTTAAGTCTTAAGAGTTGAGGGTGTTATTGTTAAAACTTCACACTTCTCTTTCCCTTTCTATCGCTCTCTCAAAAAAGTCAATTTGC